TTTAGGCAGTACATGACCTAAAAAGGAACTTTTAGTCCATTTAAAATGTTTTAGGCTATGCATGACCTAAAATGTTGTCCATCATTTTTCTGGGTGTGGAATCCCCAAGAACGAGTTCATCAGGGAAAGCCCCGTCAGCAAAAGTAAGTAGCGACTCATTAGGATACACTCTTATTTCACGTCTGTGGCCGATCTAGGCTCTACGATTTCTGAACCAACCAATTTCGGAAAGAAATATTACGACGACTTTTGTGATAAAATTACCACGCATTTAACTCTGCTGCGCTCGTGTCGAGAAACATTTTTTATAGTTGAATAATACTCCGCATATCTCGAAAAAAACATTCCTTTTAGAATGCGTATGCTTCCGATCGATTTACAAAAATCGAGATAAGAGAGTATTTTTACTTATTGCTTATTGCTTGTTAAACGACATCCGTTGATAACGATAAGAGCCAAAACCGAGTGTATAATAGTTTCCGATATACAAATTTTTAAACAATTGCGGCTTTATAAAATAACAATCTCAAGTGGGAATACTCGAGGCATTTTCTCAGAGTGTAAAATTATGCATTTCCCAGGAGCGCTGAATAAGGATTGAGGTGAGCCATAAGCAGTGGCAGTAACAACGGGACAAAAGCTTTTCATTATGCACGCCACTCGCCGGCGAACAACACGAACAGCAACTCAAAAGGGCAAAGCTGCTCGGGCAATCCCTTCTCAACCTCAACCTCAACCGGCTCAACATCCTCCTTCTCCCGTCAAGTGCACTTTTTCGAATGCCTTTCATCAAAACACTTAATTTGCATAATTTTCGTGAAGAGAGTTGGACGGTTGGCATCAAGAGCAGAAAAAGTATGAGACGATTTAATTCCGCCAGCTTTAATAAAAATGCAATTGCAAGTACCAGAAAATGTGCCACACAGTTCGGCCTCGAAAACTTTTCGCTGGCAGGTGGAAGAAGAAGACCTTTTGTGCGGTGCGGTAATCTAATACTTTTACTTCATTTAACGTTATGAAATTTCATGCACTTTGCAAATTTTACATAAATGCTCGGGGAAAAATGAACCCGGGGCGCAGTATTGCCGACGGAAAAGCAGCATCGGACAAAAACACTTTTGGCCAGGCAGCAAAGGCAAAATGCATTTTTCGGTAAATCAGCCTAATGCACTCAATGACCCCACTATCAAGCCTGAAAATATGGCCGAAAGCAACAAGCAAAGCTAAAGGGATAAAAATACCAAGAAAAGGGAGACTCAAAGCGGATGTTACGTCGCAAATTTAATCTAGCAAGCGATAGTTGAGGTAACTGTGTAAAGTTAATTCACCATAAGCTCCAACAAAGGCAACAAGTCAAGTTCAAGGAATTCAATGACGAGAAAAATTAAGCTTAGTAAATTTAATTATATATAAAAATAAAGAAAGGAAGCTAACTTTGGCCAGCCGAAGCTCATATACCCTCGCAGACATCTGACTGAAATTATAATACCCTCTGCAAGGGTATGAAAAGGCACATTCTGTGACACATAATTTTAAAAATTATCAATTTAAAAATAAAACGTCAACTCGAATACATTTTATTCTTGCTTTTATTACCATCACCTATGTAAAATATAAAATCATTTTGCTGTGCCAAAAATTATTCAAATGTTTTATATTCTCGTTTGATTCCTGCTCCTAAACCTTTCTAAAAAATGGATTGTCTCTAATTCCGAAGTTGTTCTCCTGCAACTTTCAACCATTTTGTCGTGTTCCCGTTTTTCCATGACGACCGTTTTTTCTATTACGTGAATTCCAGCTTCTTTGCAGGCTTCGATCAATTCGCTATGAAATCCTGTGTCGAAAAGCGCAATCTCTTTTAGATTTGGAATGTATTTAAAGACATCAGAGAAATCATCCAAATAATTTCCTTCCACACCGAGAAAAAAAACCGTTCTCAACGTTCTTGATTTCAGTATTTTCGTTCTCAAAAGTGAGCCGAGAACGGTTTTACTAAAATCAAGAACGAGTGTTCTTGATTTGAGACTACTTTTTTGAAAATAAGTATTCTTGATTTCAGTATGAGTCTTCTTGGACTCAAGAAGAAACATTCTTGGATTCAAGCATAGGCGTTCTTGGTTTCAAGAATAGGCGTTCTTGGTTCCAAGAGTAAATCGTTCTCGGGTTTAATAATTTCTCTCTTACCAAGAAGAACGTATTCTTGGTTTCAAGAAGACAAAATTCTTGGATTCAAGCATAGGCGTTCTTGATTTCAAGAATAGGCCTTCTCGATTTTAAGAATGTTCCACTCTTGATGCAAAAAGGAATTTTTCAGAAAAATTAAAAATTTCATATATTCACTTTTTTTTATTTTATTAATTTTTTATTTATTATTATAGATATAACATAATTACAAATTACTTATAACTAAACATATTTAAGTCTAACAGCAATCTTATCGTTATTAAGTAAGTACGAATAAATTTAAGTAAGTTTAAGTAAATATAAAGTTTTATAATTTTAAAATGTACCTTGCCAAGCGTGCTACCTCCTCTAGGTGGACCGATACCAATCAGCGATGTTTGTTTCTCGCTCTTTTCCTGATTACGTCCCCCAAACTGCAAGATTTATATATAGTTTAAATAACAATAAATAATAAAAATTGTATATTGTTTATATATATACATACTTTCGAGCTTTGCGAACAGCTTCTCCCGGAACACAATACGTAAACCAATTGGCGGAATCGCCTCATTGATCTCTCCTTGTCCATGAAGACACTCCAGCGCCTAAAAATAGTTAAAGTATTATTTCATATTACTTTTTTAAAACAGAACCTTACAAGCGCAAGCACGCTCCTGCATAAACACACATATGTATACATACATAGATGCATTTAGCGTGGCGTCACTTTTTTTCACAAACATACAAGTTCGAAGTATTTATTTATTATATAGCTTATTTTCATTATTTTTATTATTACACTAATGTTATTATTAAATACTTACGTTTGAGGAAGGGGAGCGCACTCAAAATATCTAGTTCCTCTAGAAGGTTCTTTAAACGTGTGTCGTCCGCGTGTGTACTCCGCTTCACTGGCCGAAAAAAAACGAGCATTTGACGAGAGCCGAAGTAAACTTCGGTAGCTTGCCGAAAAATTCCAGAGAGAATGTCTCTCTCATTTTTTCTCTCTCTTATTTTTTTTCATCTCTGAGACGAAGTTGAGAACGATTTTAAGAATGCTTGGGGACGATTTCAATAACGTTCATGCTTGATAAACGAAATCGAGAGTGATGTATTCTCAAAAAGCCAGATCAAGAATGGTTTTATTCTTGATTTCAAGAACGTTTGTGCTAAAAAAAGTGAGAAGACAAAATACTGAAATCAAGAATATTCGTTCTTGATTTTTTCGTTCTCAAGTTTTTTCAGTGCACGCGTAGACTTTGAAGATTAAGCATGCCATAGACCCACTTCTGGTGAAATTTATCTCTTCGAGTGTGAGAAATGTCCAAATGAGTAAGGCTGGGTGACAACAAGGGTGTATAGTAATCAAAGTAATACAGATAGTTATGGCTTATGTTAAAATACTTGAGGCTCCAAAGCTCCATTTTATAAAACCATGCCCGGGTGATTATCGAGGTTAGCAAGTTTTCTGACACATCAAGTCGCTGAAGATTTCGCATTTTGTCTAGTCCACCAAGAGCCGAGCTATTTAAACGATTTCCGTGAAAGTCTATCTCGATGACAGATTTAGGGTCGGCAAGAAAAAAGTCGGCTATCTTATTGTTGGCTGCCTGTAGTTTAATAACGCTGCCTTCAATGTTTAACTTCGTAATTCCGCTGTTCTCCAAGATGAGATTCTGCGCACCGTATAGTGCAAGATTCCCTAAAGGACCACAGTTACTCATGTCGAGCATTTTGAGGCCCCTAAGTGGGGCAAATATGAGCTCACCCACTTTAGTCAAGGGATTAGAATTAAGAAGCAGCGTCGCAAGGAATCTGTTCCTAGAAAATATGTCTTCCGACAAGCTCGTGATCTTGTTGCCACTGAGGTCCAGATGCTCCAGTTCGCTAAGGGAAAAAAATACGTCCTTTGGAAGTTCAGTTATACCTCAGCTCTGAAGGCTAAGCTTCCCCAGTTGAGAGAGCTTGAAACCAGATAGAGACTTTGCAGATTTTGAAAGCGGGAAAATTGATTGTTCTGCAGCTCAGAAAATTGGCTTTTCTCCAAATGCAGTGAAAGTAATCGGCTTAATAATCGTAACCGACCGGTACGGAATTGATCGAAGGTGGTACTGGTGCAATTGATTAGTTCCAGGTGAGTCCTCATTCGATACGGTGTACAGCTCTCCGACCTGGAAAAATCAACTTCCTGTATGTTTTGGTTCCCAAGGATCGAGTTGAAGACGAAAAGCACCGTCAGCAGAAGTAAAAGACGTCTCATTGGGACTGAAAATTATTTTACGTCTGTTGTCTAGAAAAGTTTTGCTTATACTGAACCAACGATTTTTTGAATAATTTATTATGGCGCGATAATACTCCCTTGCTCTCCTATCGAATAACATTCTTTCTATTTTAGTATTGCCCGGCATGTGTCGAAAAAAATCATTCCTTCTAATTGAGTTTACAAAAATCGAGATAAGGCGAACACTTGCGGGAGTGTTTTTAAAACAGCATAATTGCTTCTCAAACAACATCCGTTATTAACGATAAGAGGCAAAGCCAAATTGCTACATTTTCAAATGTAGGTTATTATTCGATTTCAGAAAAATTCTATTAATAATTTTATCCCAAAAGTGTGGTTGCATTTAGTTTTTCCCTCAGCAAGGCAATCTCAAATTCTTAACTATATTTAAAACATGTATTTATGATCCCGACTGAATTAATAATATTTAAATTACTCTCCCTCATGGACCTATGACCTGACTTTGGACCCACTGACATCACCTTTGGCACCGATTCAAGCAAACCCATTTAGCCCACACCGATAACGTCTAACCTTCTACCTTTTTCTGTTGCAGCTGAGCAATGACATTGGCTACGTGCTTTACTCGGCGCTGGGCTCCTTCTACATCCCCAGCTGCATAATGGTCTTTGTGTACATACGAATTTACTTTGCCGCCAAGGCGCGGGCGAGGAGGGGCATCAAAAAGCATCCCCGCAAAACAAACAACGAACAGGTGAGTGGAATCCGTGGGGTAACACAAACACGAACGGGGCTGATTATTTATGAATTTTGACCCGTCAAAATGTTTGTGTGCCTAATGAACTCTGACAAAAGCTCTCCCCGATTGCACATCGATGGGGGGATGGATTTTGGGTCTCACACCTTCGGATCGTTAATGCGGTTGGCCGCAAAATGTGTCAGGCATGGAAATGAGAATTTTTACGATTCAATGGACAAATGTAATTCTTCTAACCGACTGTGGCATATGTGGCGTATGTGTAATATTCGCACACACTTTACCCAGCCCACACTTCCGCTTTTGGGCAAAAGTAATTGTGCATTACCTGAGGAAGCTGCAAATTGAGCACACATGCTTCGCTTCAATTTCCCATCAACAACTTTTGGGGCCACGTGTAGGACTTAACCCCATTCCAATTCCAATTCCCCCTTTTCCCCGTGTCAGGCCATCAGGCAATGCAGCTTGCCAACGCTGCAATTTTGGCCGCTGCAGCACAGTTGGCCACGTTAAGGCAAATGGCCATTATGCAGGGGCCATTCAATGCAATGGCATTTGCTGACTCCACACACACGCCCGCTCTTAACGGGCTTTGTTGGAAAATTATCGCTGAAAATTTAATCGAAACTCCACCCCAAATCCACTGATTGAGTGAAAAGTCTCTAATGATCGTCAATTACCTGCCGCAACGAGTGCCAATGCAACGCAATTTGCATTTTCAATTAACTATATGCGCAATGCACACGGGCACAAAAAAAAAACAGAATCCTGAAGTGCGGTGGAAAACATTGCAGTCTGGACAGTGCTGGCAATATCAGCGACACTTCTCGACCATTTTGTGCAAACAAATTCAAGAGCAGCGGCCCAAACGAGCGATTAACAAACAGGGGGAAAAAGGGGGAGGTACGATGGGCGGTGGAAAAACAAGCAGAGGAAAAACCAAAATCAGGGAAACAGAAGGGGAAGATTCCCACACATATGCTGACAACGCGATTTGCTTCGAGCATTGTTGCTGTACCTATTGTGGGGTATGATCAGTTGACGCAGAGAAAATATTATTAACCAATATTAAAAGAAAAAAAATTATTATTTTTGACAAAAGATATATTTTCTTAAAAACGGTTTCAATTTTTCATAGTTTAAAAAAGTACGATGTTAAAATATTAAGAACTTCCAATTATTTCCCTTATAAACAATTTATTTAAAAAATTAAATGACTGTTTTTTTTTTGTTTGTTTTAAGTATTTTTTAGAAATTATTGCTATGTTACTATCCTAAAAATCACAATTCAATTTTTTGTTTTTTTCAAAAATATTTGAAAGGTTATAATATTAAGAAATATTGATTATTTACTATTTTACTTTTTATTTATAAAAGTAAATAATTGGGTTTTTTGATTTATTTTAAAAATTTTCAAAAAATATAGGAAATACATCAAAGAAATTCTATAAAATTAAAGGGTATTTAAACATTCGATCCCCGACCTCTCCTTATTTTATTTTCATTTTCGTTGGGACGCTCAGTGTCTCTGTTAATTGCCCGGGGTAATTGTTGCTGCTTTTCGAGCATTGAATATGCACGGCCCCTCCTCCCTCCGCCCAGTCCACTGCTGAGTCCACAACCCATCCAAAGGCAGCAGCCCTCGCTCCATGTTTGTGTAATCCGCGCGCTCGGACGCGTTTCTGCCGCCCGTTGGCTTAAACAGGATTTTCGAAATGGAAAACTGTTGTAGCAAGTGTTGGGCCATCTGTCCCTGTTCTCGACTGCAGTTGCACTTGTGCGGATCTGCAAGCTAATTTGCAATGCCCGAGCATGTGAGACTGTTAATCACACAGAACCACTTTGAGAACTGTGAACCGTGCTGGCACAGCAACAACACTGCTAGCAAATTAAAAATGTAATGCAAACGAATTTATGATCTCTAAATGTGTACGAATTAACGACTTAAGATTACCTAAAGCAATCATAAAGTATGGATTTTGTGAAAGACCCAGAATAATTTACCATCCAACAATCATTAACTTTTTTACATAATTAAAAATTTGGAACGCAAATTTAACTGAAATTAATAATTTTCAAGTATACAATTAATTTAAAAACAACCAAATAAAAAGGGAATAACTTTCAAATTTAAAATTTAGGAAAAACATTTTTTAAAATTGGAAATGTAAAAAATAATTTCATTTTAACGCCAAAATGTTAAAAGAAAATCTATACAAACTATATAAAATACAGTTTAAGCATTTTCACCTCCCCTATACTATAATCATGAATATACCAAATTTTTAGGCGACATTTTTCATTGCATCTCCTGACCTTTTTCGGTGAATTAATAGTAGCTCATCCTTTGACCTTTTTCGCCGCAGGTAACGAGCTTCACCACCGCCAAGAAAGGAACCATACCGATGCCCTCCTCCAGCGGCGCGGCCGCTTTGCAGCTGCATCAGCAGCGCCAAATAGCCACCATCGAGACTCCACCGAACAGCGCCACTCTGCCCATGCAGATACCCACGGTGACCATGGACCTGGCCTCCGACATCTCCACCTCGGAGGCGGGGGAACTGGAGGCGGTGGCCGCCCAAACGGTGCTGGCCTATGCCAATCCCAATGGGGCGGGCGTTAATTCGGTCACCGTGGTGAGCAGCGGGAATGGGGGTGCCGCCTCCACCATAGACAGTGCACAGCCCACCTCGCCGAGGGAAACGCTCCATGTGAGCACGATAGCCACCGGTCGGGTGGGTCTCAATGTGCCCGTGCCCCCGTCCATGGGCAGCAACAACTCCATCAATGCGCTGAACAACAACAACGGCAGCGTGGCCATGGATGGCGGAGGCGGAGGAGGAGGAGGAGGAGGAGCAGCATCCGCTGGCGGGGGAAATGGAAGTGCAGGTACGACGACGACAGGAGGACTGCAAACGCCGGGCAACGAGCTGCGCGTCTCCCCAATCGCCGGAAGGTGTCGAGCCTTATCCGTGGGCGTGGACACGGACATGGTGAGTGAATTCGATCCATCCAGCAGCGATTCGGGCGTGGTCAGTCGCTGTGCCGTGGTCAAGCCGCTCAAGTTTCGCCTTTGCCAGCCGATCTTCGGGCGCAAATCGAATAATCAGCAGCGTCGCAACGAGGCCAAAGCGGCGGCCAAGAATCAACATCCCAGTGCGGCGACGGGCAACAAAAATCAACAGCAGCAACAGCAGCATCAGCAGCAGGTGGTGAAGGCGGAACTGGAGCCGGCCATACCGAAGACCCCGAAGCCCCGGGATCCGGAGAAGGAGAAGCGAAGGATTGCGCGGAAGAAGGAGAAGCGGGCCACCCTAATCCTGGGGCTGATCATGGGCAGCTTCATCGCCTGCTGGCTGCCGTTCTTCTTCCTGTACATCCTGGTGCCGGCATGTAGCAGCCACTGCAATATACCCGATTCGGCGTTCGCCGTCGCCTTCTGGCTGGGCTACATGAACTCGGCCCTCAATCCGGCCATCTATACCATCTTCAACAAGGACTTCCGGCGCGCCTTCCGGCGCATCCTGTTCAAGTGATGTTTGGCCTATGTGTGCTGTTACAGGTGCGTTTACGCCAGCATCGAGAAGGCAACCGAACGTGCCATGGGCAGCACACCCATGGGCTATGGTCATGGCATGTATCAGCACTACAGGCGTTAGATTTGCTTCGTTTTGGTAATGCCATAAGCCCCAGTCCCTTCCAATTCCCCCAAATCCCAAGCTGCAAAACTATCGATTATTTAGATATGTTTTCCATGTTTTTCCTACTGATCATTTTTACAACAATTTGGATTATTTTGCAAGTCATAAAATTATTAGAATTTTTTTTATTTTTAACCATTTCAGATTATCGGTTTTTGTACAATTATTACGATATTTCATGTTATCGAATTTATCGACTATACTAACAATCGATAGTTTTGCAGCTCTGCCCACTCCCAATCGCTAACCCCATCTTTCTTTGAACTTTTTGTTTGAATAAAAAAGTAACGAACATTGTAGCTCATTTCAAAAGCAATGAACGGCTGTGAATTTGATGGAATCTCTCAATTTCAATTTACGCATTTTGGTTTCGTTTCGTTTGGTTTCTCGAGCACCCTTGAACCCAGAGACCCCAGAGTCCCGGAGGCCCCAGAACCGAACCGAACCGAACCCACCACGGCCCACACACTTTTCACACTCGACGAGCTCATAGAAATGCATGAGCTGAGCAAACAAGAATTTGAGCTGGGCAAACATCTATTATGCTCCCTGAATGGATGTGTCCGCCTGCGACGGGTATGGCCATTCAACTTGAAATAATTTCGCAAATTTCCATTTGCGGCTGCATTGCCAATGCCAAACATTAGTGCAGACTGCAAATGTGTCAAGAGTCAGGTAGCAGGGCAATACATGGCCCTTACTTCCACGAAACTCTACCATTGTTGTGCACTGGCAATCAAAATCGAGGTCAACAAGTGTGCGTAGTCGAACGTTGGCAGCAAATTAATTTAATTCCTTTTTAATACTTTGGCAGCCGCTTATCCACTACTTCGACGAAAATCTTAGAGTCAGGGCGCCCCTGCAATTGCGAGGTTCCATTTGGCTGGGGGCCAAATCAATAATTCCATGTGCACACAAATGTAACTATAATCCAGCACAACAAAGTACAAAGTAACAAAGTGAGCACACAGCTATGGGGAAACAGAAACAGCGACAGATTCCACAAGGCAGCCGCAGTTTTATTCATTCACTCAAAGATATTTCACTCAGCGACACAGAAAGTGGGAGCCAAAAATGAAAAAGAAAAATAAACCAAATGTATGGGAACCAATGCCTAATGGGCACAGACAGATGCAAATGCAAATGGTTGGCTTCTACACTCATAAAAAAAATACATTTTCTTATAGTTTGTTAAAAAAAAATGTGGGTACCGAAATTATTTCTTACATTTTTAACTTACAATTTATTTTTCCGTTTTTTAATAATTACCTTTTTGTAAATATATTTTAAATGCATTTATAAACGATAGGAAAATACTTTGTACAGAAAATATATTTGGTGGATTAGCTTTGAATTAAAACTTTTTTTCTGGAAAGGCACATTAATACTCAAGGCTGTAGCAGACGATTTCCTCACCTTTTACAATTTATATTTAAAGTTTGGAAAATTTGGGTTTTCAATTTGAAAAATATTAAGAAACAATACAAATTTAATTTGAAGCCATATTCTTTAGCTTTTAGAAATATATTTTAGGTTTGTATCAGCAATCATTTAAAGGGATTTAAAATATTAAGAAATTATAAAAATGTAATTGGAAACAATATTTTCTTTTTGTGTGTACCTCCTACCCTGGCAACATTTTCTCCACCATTTCCCACTTTAGTTTTTGGCTATGCATCAGCAAATGCATGCGCCCGGCCGAGTGGAATAGACAGCCCGTCACCCAGTCAGTCAGTCATTCAAGCATTCAGTCAGTCAGTCACTCAGTCAGTCGAACGGACGGACAGACAGTCGTCACTGGAACGCTACAATGACACCGAGTTAGACGAAGATGGAGACAGAGGAGCATGGCCAGGAACAGGGGCGGACAGACGACTCTGTTTTTGGCATGTGGCCCAGAATGGCTCTCCATTTCGTTTGGCTGGTTGGGCGGCTTGTTTTGCTGGCCAAAGCTATAGCCAAAAAAAAAAATGGCAAGGAAAAAATATATTGTACGGCCCAGAGCCCACACAGAAAAACACGGAGGAACGTCGGGCTGACAGTCTATGCATAAATTTTACGTACAATTTATTTTACTTCCTGTGCGATGGCTTCGTTCCTCATATTTTTTGGACACTTTGTGGCAAGGTGCAACTAAATCTGCCAGCCACTTGTAACCAGCAAATCGTAATCTGGTCAGAGCAATCTTCAATCTCCAATATACCATCTATAATCACCTTGTTCTCCGTCCCGAAACATCCGAAATTTATGGCAGCTCTTAGGCTGCTCGCTCGACCTTTCAACACATGTCGGCATTTTCGAAGAGATTGATCAGATTTATAGCTCTGTCCATAGGCTAAGTGCTTGCGGTTGCCGAAGACCTCTTAAAATTGTTTAAGAACGCATAAATAATGCGACCGAGATCGGCCCTGAATGTGCAGGGAAGTGTTTCATTTGAATAAATGGATATCGACGCAAGAACTTTGATGGTGTTGAAAGACAAACACCGAAGGCTTTTGGTGCCTGCATTTTTTATGGATCACACAGCATCCTGCTGAACGTTTTGGCATTGTCAGCAATGTGTGTACAACAACTGCACTCAAATGACAATTTGAACAGCGACAGAAAGTCCAACAATAACAGCTACAACAGCAACAACAAGCTAAATGGCAGGACAAAAAAAGGACTGTCGTGCACAAAGCGAAATCGAAAACAATTGAAATCGACAGCAAGGGAAAACCCAAGTGGAGGTGGTGCTGGGTGGTGCAGGGTGGTGCGGTGCTGCAGGTGGTGCAGCAGGCACATTAAAATGCGCGAGGTACACGAAGAGAAAATTAAAAAACCGGGTAACTTCAGAAAATGTAAATTAAAGAGCAAAAAAATAATTAAAAATATCTTTAAACTTTTGATGACAGTGGTAGAAACAATCATGACTTCTTTTTTTTTTATACTTAGCTTAAGAAGTCTTATATTCTGTTTACAATTAAATAAAAATATTTATAAATACGTTAAAAAAGATTAATATTTTCGAACCTGACATTTTTTTTTGCAGTGTTTAATTATTCAAGTCATCTGCTGTTCAAAACCAGAATTGTTGGCCAAAAAATTAATTTTTTTTTTGTGAAGCATGCTTTTTTTTCAAGCATATTTTCTCTCACATTTTTATATTTTCCTCAGTGGAAACACAAATACAGCACCATACACACACAGCACTTAACTGCACTTAGGTGCGACAGCCAGATGAGTGTCGAACGGCATTCCACGGATGGCATTGTTTTGCCTGGCACACTGAAAGTCATTTTCACTTAAAGCGTAAAAAGCAGCCTGGCATTTTAGACCACCCGACGTATACGCAACACCATCCTTTGTGTCCTTTTTATTTTGAAATTTTGGAAGGGAACTGCCTTTGCGGACCTTGCTAAGGCCCATTAATAAAATTGCAATTAACGTCACAATTAGCAATCACCATAAATTAAATGCTCGACAACAATTTAAAATTTATCATGCCAAAGTAGCCAAACAGAACAAAAAAAAAACAAACAAACAAGGAGCAACAAAAAATGTGAGAAAAAACATTTTGAATAATTCAGAGCTATTTAAATTAATTCCCATAATTTAATTATGAGATTTGGAATGCGAATTTTTCGCTTTGTTTGCCTTAATTGTTTTGAGTCAACAGGGGAGTTGTCCGAAAACGAGTAAATAACAAAATGAAGCTTAAAACATTTACAATAATTACATAAAAACATTTTAGATTACTGTAGTCTTATTGTCTCATTTATCCTTTTTTACATTTTAATTTCGATTGCCAGAGGCCGCAAATTCGCTTGTGAAATTTAATTATTTATAGCGTAAAATGCGTAAATTAGAATTTGCATTTCTGTCAACATCTATTTCGGCGCCATGCATTTAATGCCATAAGCCAATTTAATGCCTGATTAACTTGGCAAATTGCAGAGGTATTTATAGAAAATCGGATAGGCAGGGAAAAGGTACTTTAAATGAATTTTTGTTTGCGGTTGCAGAATTTTCAGAGTATTCTGCAACTGTTGGTAAACATTTTAATGGATTTTTTTTGGAAATTACTATCGTTCATGCACACAAATGGTAATTCATGCGTAACTATTGCCCAGACGCGCCAGTCATAATTACAGGTTCTTTCAAAAATAGAAAATAAATTACACTTTGACTTAAATGAATTCAAACATAAAAGCATCAAAGCCATCAATAAAACGGCGTTCACTTTCGTTTACGACCCGCCCACATGATAAACACGTGAAAATTGCACACAGAAAATTGCATTGTTGCCGAAATCGCATGAACGCTTCCGTGGCGCCGGAATTTTTTGGAGGGTCTGTGATATATATAGAAATACCTATACATATATTTTTGGAACGCTCTTGGAGCAATTATCGTGACCATTAGGCGGCTGCAAGGGCATGAATCATCGAAATGCGGCTTGCTGCCCTGCATATTAATTAATAAAGTATAAAGGCCATAAATGTAAAACTCATAACGACAAATGTTGGACCATAAATATGCACTTAGGTATTTATGCGCATTGACAGCATGAATATTTATGAGGCAATGACGACAGCGACAGCGGCCATTAAAATGCGCCCCCCGTTGATTAATTGGAAAAGTTGAGTTGGTCGTTCGGTTTGGTTTCGGTTTGGCTCGGTTCAACGGGTCGTATGCTTGACGCTTTTTAGGCCCTCCCCCCATTTTGCATGTCTCAAAAACGCCGCCCAAAACTAAGCAAATCCAATGCCTGTGTTCAGGTTTAGAAACGAAAAAGAATGGAATTTATTTGTTTGCCATAAGATAAGCCATGCGACCATCTAAGTTCAAGTTTTGAGGCTTGTCTTTCAAAGCCAAAAACAAAAAAATTACAATGACTGAAATGTTTAATGAAATTATTTCATTACAAAAAACAAAAAGCAAACAAATTGCAAGTAACATAAACGTATTTCAATATTTAAACTTAAACTTTTTGCTAATTGTAAACTAGACACAAATATTTATATATATAAA